CACAGCCAGCTCTGGGGGCCCGAGTGAGGTAGGAAGAAGGAAAACCCCGAACAGCCTTTTCTCCTTTGTCTCTGTGAGCATACAGCACCGCCTGAGCACCAAGGGAGCCAGAGCCTCCCTGGAACCTCAGAAAAGGATTTGAAAAGCCAGAGGCCCCTCTTAGGACAGGATCTCAAGGTCTGGCCTACGCTTACTGAGCTCTAGTCTTGCTGCATGTTAACATGTCGAACAGTAGTTTGCAGGCCAGCTGTAAACTGGATGAGTTTGACAGGAACTCAACTTCAAAAACATAAAAGTAGCCAACTGCAAAGAAGAAATCAAGCATGACCAAATAGTGTATAGACGGGAGGCAGAGCTCCAGATACAATCTCCTCTCTCTCCTACTTGCTGCAAGTGAATAAAACCACCCTGCGAGAATGGGCCGCCCCGCCGTGCAGCCTGCCCTGGAGTTCGGTACCCTCCCCAGCAAGAGCACCAGGCCCCGGCCAGGCACCATCGCAGCGGGAGGACCGGCTTCCACGTGCAAAGAACAGTGTTTGAGTTCTGGCTCTGGCACTTTGTGATGCTGGAAAGTCTCTCCTGCCCTGTGGTCTAAGCCTCAGTTTACTCATCCATAATATGGGATTGTTACCATCGTGACCAGCTAGTTCATATTAATAACTAGAGGCCGGGTGCGGTGGGGTTCCTTGGCCTGGCCTGCAGCTCTCTGACATCCCCCAAGGGGTCCCGGATCGCAGGCCAGGCCGAGGGACCCTGATTGGGAGGGACCGTGGGAGGGCTCCAGGGCATGTCCAGCCTGTCTAGCCCAGTTCTGATCAGCCGGACTCCAGTAGCAAGCTAATCTACTGGTTGGAGCGTCTGTCCCCTGGTGGTCAGTGTGCATCATAGCTACCAGTTGAACGGTCCAACAGTCGAATGGTCGCTTAGGTGTTTATATATATAGATAGGAAGAAAGCAAAGAGAGACACGGACGCATGTGCAGTGAAGTCAGGGTGAGGCAGGGAAGATGCCTGCCTGTCAGTCTAGCCCGGGGAGCCATGGATTGGCTGGGAGGGTGGACCACGGCAAGCTTGAGAAATCTTTGGTTAAAATCCCCAGAAAATGACACTTTCTCTCTCTCGCCACTTATGCTCCTATTTCTTTCTTGTTCCATGACCCACACTCGCCTGCCACGTGGCCCGAGAAGCTGCATGGCCCATGGCTCTGTGGGTCCCACACACCATGGACAGCAGCTGGAACATGAACTAAGCGGGCAGATGCGTCTGCACTGGGCTTCAACGTGGAGCGGACACCCGGGCAGTGGCTTTCATCCTCGCTCTGCCGAAGACAAGATGGGACTTTTCCCATGGCGGGGCGGGAGGCGGGACCCAATAAAGCTTTCCTCCACACCTCATCCTCCGGGGGCCTCAGCAAGTTCCTGCTCCCACAGCACCCCGAGAGCTCCACTGCCCCCGCAGCACCCCGAGAGCTCCACTGCCCCCGCAGCACCCCGAGAGCTCCACTGCCCCCGCAGCACCCCGAGAGCTCCACTGCCCCCGCAGCACCCCGAGAGCTCCACTGCCCCCGCAGCACCCCGAGAGCTCCACTGCCCCCGCAGCACCCCGAGAGCTCCACTGCCCCCGCAGCACCCCGAGAGCTCCACTGCCCCCGCAGCACCCCGAGAGCTCCACTGCCCCCGCAGCACCCCGAGAGCTCCACTGCCCCCGCAGCACCCCGAGAGCTCCACTGCCCCCGCAGCACCCCGAGAGCTCCACTGCCCCCGCAGCACCCCGAGAGCTCCACTGCCCCCGCAGCACCCCGAGAGCTCCACTGCCCCCGCAGCACCCCGAGAGCTCCACTGCCCCCGCAGCACCCCGAGAGCTCCACTGCCCCCGCAGCACCCCGAGAGCTCCACTGCCCCCGCAGCACCCCGAGAGCTCCACTGCCCCCGCAGCACCCCGAGAGCTCCACTGCCCCCGCAGCACCCCGAGAGCTCCACTGCCCCCGCAGCACCCCGAGAGCTCCACTGCCCCCGCAGCACCCCGAGAGCTCCACTGCCCCCGCAGCACCCCGAGAGCTCCACTGCCCCCGCAGCACCCCGAGAGCTCCACTGCCCCCGCAGCACCCCGAGAGCTCCACTGCCCCCGCAGCACCCCGAGAGCTCCACTGCCCCCGCAGCACCCCGAGAGCTCCACTGCCCCCGCAGCACCCCGAGAGCTCCACTGCCCCCGCAGCACCCCGAGAGCTCCACTGCCCCCGCAGCACCCCGAGAGCTCCACTGCCCCCGCAGCACCCCGAGAGCTCCACTGCCCCCGCAGCACCCCGAGAGCTCCACTGCCCCCGCAGCACCCCGAGAGCTCCACTGCCCCCGCAGCACCCCGAGAGCTCCACTGCCCCCGCAGCACCCCGAGAGCTCCACTGCCCCCGCAGCACCCCGAGAGCTCCACTGCCCCCGCAGCACCCCGAGAGCTCCACTGCCCCCGCAGCACCCCGAGAGCTCCACTGCCCCCGCAGCACCCCGAGAGCTCCACTGCCCCCGCAGCACCCCGAGAGCTCCACTGCCCCCGCAGCACCCCGAGAGCTCCACTGCCCCCGCAGCACCCCGAGAGCTCCACTGCCCCCGCAGCACCCCGAGAGCTCCACTGCCCCCGCAGCACCCCGAGAGCTCCACTGCCCCCCCAGCAGGTGGGCACATGGAGGCCACCCCAGCAATAACAGGGTGCTGCTGCCCCACATTGCATGGATGTGGTAGGGCCTGGCTCAAAGGGAGGGGAGGGTGTCCCGGGAATGTCCCTGCCCCAGCCCCCAGCCCCTCCTGATGCGTCCAAGTGCAGGTTGGAGGTGTCCAGTTCCAGGAGTCACACTGGGCAGGACCCTGTTCCACTGCTGCCCCAATTCACTGCCTGACCTCAGGCAGCCCCCCCTTTCCCGGGCCTCTGCCTTCCCTTCTCAGGAACGGGCACAGTGGCCGCTGAAGGCCCTTTCAGCGTGGACCTTGCCACAGCGGCCCAGCTGGGAAGGAGAAAAAGTTATAAAAGCAAAAGGGATGGGATGCAGGGAGTTTATGGTCCTTCATTTCACAATCTATTTTTCACCCCCAGAACTCTCAGGAGGAGGGTGTGGAGGAACCTCCCTTCCCAGGAAAGGAAGGCTTGCCTGTGCTTTCTGGTCTCAAAAGTAAGGACAGTCCACTTGCTATGCGCTGCAGGCGCAGTTCTTCGCCTTGACTCTTACGCAGCACTCAGCCTTCACCCGGGGTGTGCGCGGCCCCTCCCACGGCGGGAGGGAGAACCCGGGCAGCAGAGGCGGCCTGGGGTCCGAGAGGCACACCACACCCCCACCACCTTCCTGGGGAGAAGCAGCCCTCCATCTGCCCAGAGGAGCCTTCCCACGCCGCTCGGGGCAGCAAAGCGGAGGCTCCCGGGGCAGCCGGAAGCTACTGAACGCCCAGGGCGCGGGAGGTCCCGCCGACCCGCTTTCCAGGACCTCAGACGGCGGCCTCGGGGAACACCGGAAAGCAGCCCGGCCCGAG